TGTTCACTCCCATACTACACTGAAGTAACCAAAATTGCAATGCAGTACTGAAACCTGCAGTTTTAAAAATTTTTGGAAATGTATGGTGTTAGGCATGCTTCACAAGGCAGGCCAACACACCTTTGTTGTGGCTCTCTTTTGGTAGGGTGGTAGTCAGCTGCTAAGTGTTTAATCGAGCCTGCTCCTGTTAGTGAACTTTCAAGAGTTGCAGGTGAGAGAGCAGCTTTTTTGTGACTACAAGGCTACTGCTAAGAGCTGGGAAAGTTTCTGAGCCTTAACACAAATGGCAAGCTCACAGGACATACAGTGTAATGAAGCACAAGGACTCTTCAATCCACTGGTTAGTCTTAGGAATTGTCACCAAGCTAGGAAACCTCCAGACCTCCACTTTTATCTACAAGGCTTTCCTATTTGGTAAAAGAGGCATAGAATCAAATGCCCCTTTACAGCCTAAGGCTATAATAGAATGCTAAGGGTTAATAACTACAATACAATTTCCCTATTACATCCTATTTAGAAGGCTGAGAAATTGTTGCATATTAACAAATACATAATTTTTTGAAGTAGCAGTAATCTTTCTTCCACTTATTTTTTTCTTTGCAAACCTATTTTTCAAAAGAACAGAGCCTCATTTTCTATGTCAACAAGAACCATACCACTGTCAGTACCTTATGAATAAATACAGTAAACACCTTGGTAAATGAAATGTACTCAAGAAGACAGATAAGGCTTGCTTTCTTTTCCCCCCCCAAAAAAGGAAATTCAAAATAAGTATAAAGAAGTTGAGTGTACACATGCTGTTTTCCAAGGAGGTAAATCCCAAAGCTACTTCTTAAAGGCAGAAGACAAGCATTTTAACTGTTTAAGCATTACAGACTACAGTGACTGAGTTATTGGAGAAATGGATCAGGGGAAGGAGCAGTACGTAACCATGGCTTCAGGAATAGCAGCCTGAAGTTTTAATAAATGCGAAGAGTCACTAGATGAGAATGCCACAGCATAACAAGTCAATACTGAAATACAGATGAAACAGTATTTATTCTTGTTTCAGTTTTGAGTCTATAACAAGGATATTGAGCAACACTCAAATGCCAATGCCTACCCAAGCACATGGAAATCCTTGGAGTTTGTCCCTCCAACCTTATTGGTAAAGTGTCAACTACTATTTGAACAATAATTAAACAAGTCACACTTCAGATTTATAAAGAAAAGTAGAGGCATCTTTCAACTTCCTTGCTTCAACAGGGAGAGAAACCTCACTATAGAGAAGCAGCATACCAACCAAAGCTCATGCACAGTTCCTTAACATTGTAACAAAATGCTTAACTAACTGCACCTGATAATTATTTAAGGTCACATTTTTGCTTTGTTGTGGTATTTTTACAACTAAAAGCATATAGAAGAGAACTGAAGCTGAAGAACTTAATTTCTTAAAAGTGTAAACTACTGGAAAAGTAAAAAACCCACATATTTAATGTTTCCAGATCAATTTCTTTTGTCAAGTACAATACTAATCTCACTCTGTTTACAAACTCTTAATACATGTTGCCAGGCATAACAATTTTTGTGACGAGTTTTTGAAACTGGAAACATTTCTTTACGAAGTCAGGCTGAATCAGGCTTTGAATTGGATTCCAAGGTTAAGAGAAGGAAACCATTATTTTGAAATTTAATCATCTTTATTTAAAAGGTTTTGTTATTTTCTGATTGAGCTCAGATATCCTCATTTTCTTCATAGAGAGGGGACATGGCTGCAGCCTTCCCCGTGCCCACTTAGTCATGTCATTTCAAGAAAAGACTTTTGTATGTGGCACATAATTGTTATCCAACTGCACCCTAGCCTTTAAGCAGCTTCAGCCTCGCTGTGTTTAGAATATGTCTACCATCTATAGTCTCTCTGTACACAGAATAGTCCAAGCCACTGGAAAAGTAAGAGTTACAAGGCAAAAAAAAATGTATTATACACCAACTGCTTTATTTAACTTCAGAAACCGTTCACAAGATGGTAGAAAAAACTTACAGCCACTTCTAGTTTAGTCTTCCATTGTTCCCAGTCAGCTCTAAACCCATTATGTGCAAAGCCCATTTACCATGCATCTAGATGATAGATACAGGCTATGAAATTCTTTATTCTACTTGTAGCAGCTTATGCAGGTGCAGCCAAATACCAAGCCTCAGGACAAGTTGTACACAAACTTTACAATGTAGAATTTGAATTTAAAATATGAAACTTAAAATCTACACAAAACTGGTAAAAATCAAGCACAGATACGAGGACAAACTTAAAACCCATGTGACAAGGAGTCTCGTCTTCCTTTCAAGTGCTTTATTCTGCTACACAGTCAAAATGAAGATGTAAGCTTGTGGTTAGTTTAAATTACACTCTGTAGATACTATAGACCAATTTAAAAGTTACACATACAGCAATAGATGTCCATTGGTTCATCTGGATTACTTATACAATCCAGCTGGATTGTTGAAAACAAGTCAGGCAAAATTTGAAAGAAAATCCTTGTGCAACTTTTTAGACAAACGTTTACTGATGGGCACACTGTACCCCAGGTCCATGATGGCTGCTTTCTTCATCAGAACTATCATTATAAGCCTCACGTCTCTGGCCACCACCTGAACCACGAGTGGTATCAAATTCCTGAAGATCTACCTCTTCTGCATCACCAATTACATTGGGAACTTCTGGTCTAGCTGGCAGAAGATCTTCAAGCTCCTGCCCAAAAAAAAAAAAAAGAAGTGTGTTCAGTGCTGCATCTACAACTGCTAAATAAAGTGACCTGTTTCCCACAACCTCAAGACTCCCTCTCAGAGCAGGTTTGGTCAGAAGTCTAAGCTGATGAAAATCCTTAAGTGCATACTCATTTACAAGTATCAAAATATTTATGAACTGGAAGATGCCACTTAAAAGAAAACCAACAGCTCCATATATCATCAACCAAAGTGCAATCAGTAAATACAGTTGCAGTCTGAAAAACTTATCAGACAGCAGCAAGTTCTTTCTCCTGCTCTCATCTGCCCCCCACACAGCTGTTAAATAGCTTGCTTAAATTCATGTTCCAGTGGGTATATTCCATTTACTTGCTGCCCATGGACAACATGAAATGAACAATTGGTATGTGCATCTAAATTTAAGCACTGAAAGCAAGCACGTGAGGTGTAACACACACTTTGCGTGCACTTTCAAAGAAGACCACCACATTTATACTTGAAAAACTACTTACTGAAAGCTTTTCTGGGCTAATCCAGTTATTTTCAGGAAACTGAACATCAAATTTAATGTAAAGATCTCCCTTCTCAAAAGGATTGCGATACTGGGGCATTCCTTCACCTCTGACCACGCGAACACAACCTGTAATTCAAAGAGTAGTAAGCTGGAGAGTGCTACTTCAGGACGGATCTTTCTCTATACAATTATCTTCATTTCTTTAGCCTAGTTTCAGTTAACAGGACAACAAGAATGGGATTACGTGTTCAAGAAGCACAAAAGCATATTGAATGAAGTCCTTATCAGGTCAAGCTCACCTGGTTCAATTACTTTTCCAGGAGGATATTTAACCACAATTTGACGACCATCAAGGTGCTTAAATGTGAACTGAAATCCACACAGTGCTTCAACAAGTCCAATCTTGTGTGTCATATGCAAGTCATTCCCATCCCGCTGGAACACCTGAAAACCAAAAACTGGAGATATCTTTTCTAGTCCTATAATCATATCTTCATGAGCCTTGTTATTTAGAACTCACTGTTATTTATTCTTAAAATGCAATGCCAGAGCAACAGCCTTTGTACAAAGTTAACTTGATTCTGTTGATTTAAATAGATAGCTTAACATGCTTGAAAGGTTTGTGCCTGGAGAACGAAAGCATCTCCTAAGATAAGACAAACTACACTACATACAACGTTGTAAGGTTCAAATTAAACAAGAAGGCCTGTATAGCAGCAGTACTCTCTTACCCCATAAACTTCAATACACACAACCTATAAACAAAACTTTTGACAGTTTGACACTACTTCCACTGCACTGGAGTAATAAAATGCATTTTTGTTCCTCAACAGGTAGTTAGTCATCATGCATCTCTGCTTCAGTGAACTTTATCTACAGCAGGGCTTTGATTAATTAGCCTACAGCTGTCTTAAGTAATATTTAGCCTTATCACTCAGGATTCTTCTTCAGAGTAGGCTTTATCCATTGGCAAAACCATGACTCCCACCTCAAGGGAAATTTTAACAACACTAAAAGTCTAGTTTTACTCACTAGTACAAAAGGTACAGTATTTTCCACAATAGTTAATACTGCAAAATTAGATGTAGTTCATTAAAAGACCAAGACAAAGCAGCATCCACAATCTGGAATTTAATGCCATCATCCACATTTGACTATTGTGTATGATTACAGACTGTTTCTCACTTATTATAGTCAAAATCAATACCATGGTTCAACCAGTACTACAGAAGAGAATCATGTGAAAAGAGTTATGCAAAACTGACTGACAAATTAGCAGTCTCTGACACAGCTTTGAAAAGATTACTAAGTACCTAATTTTTTTATAACCAATATGATATTCTTAATGTACAACTAGAATTTAAATTTGTATTCAGTGCAATTCTCTGTGTTACAACGTAGCTTCTCCCCCTCCACCATTCCTCTCAACGCTTCTTCCAGAGTGTAACACAAACTATTTATTTCATCATAGCACTGCCTAGCCTTACTAAAAAAAGCATTCAAAAAAAGAAGCAGTCACCTCAACTCTGCCCCAAGGGAGTTCTAACACAGAAAAAAAACACCTGCAATATTTAATTAAAAAATGCAATGTATACTCTCCAGAATACAGTAAACATAAGCCTTAAAATGGTAGTAAAATTAATTATATTTGTTTTGTTAAATGAATCAGTAATGTCAGCATTTTGTGTTTTATTTCCACAACCACAGTAGCAGAGATAGAAAGGACTATCTGGGGATTTTAATAGGAGCTGCCTGCCATGTCACAAGCCACTGAAGAAAAAAAAGCAACACTAACAAATAGAATTTTAAGTGTCAAAAGCAAAGCAGATTGAAGTTAACATCTTGAATGGCTCCTCACTGCATCCACGGTATCAGTCAATCTGAGCTAACCCAAGAAAGCTACAGAAAGCCTCAAGAAAGACCAGAATCTGCATGTTCTCCGATCAAAGTGTTGCAAAGTTTCTCCTGTCTCACAGGAAGGTCATGTTACTTGCCATAAACCTATTTACTATCTCTCCCAGAGCTGCAACTATATGAATTACTTTAAAATGAACACTTTATCACTTAAATATTAAAGACTAGGATAAAAGACATGTAAAGGATGAACTTAAAAGCATTACCTCATTCTCCTTTTCTTGAAGTAAGAGGACAATATCGCCTGGTTCCACACCTGGAGCCTGATCTGCTTCTCCACTAAATGTAATCCTTTGTCCATGTTTCATGCCTTTGTCTACATGGACTTCAAGTATTTTTACCTCTTTGATCACCTTCTTTCCTTCACATTTTTTACAGCGGTCTTTTTCATTAATTACTTCACCTACAAAAAAGACATTTTAAGTTCAGAGATTTCTTCTTAATTGCATCCAATTCTGAAGAATAACTTTTTTTAAATAGGCTGAAGAATACATGAAACAACTAGTGATTTAGATGCTGCTTCACAGATGCCTCACAAGAGTAAAGCCAGGTGCAATTAACCCTAGCTGGAATGGGGTTGGGGGGGTAAAGGGCAGGAATACAAAGATACACATAACCTTCCACCTTCCAAGCTGTCATATTGAGGATTTTGAGAAGTGTTTTAGAGAAAGTCCAAACAAGTCACTGTTTATAGCTTCTCATGTCCCTGAAGTCTTAATTTCACTCCAGTACCCTTACCACTCAACTTACTACTCTTAAAAAAAAAAGCCTGCTTTTCAATTCCTTGTTATGCTAGATTACCGCTATAAGAGAAAAGATGAAACTAAAAACAAACTGAATGATCTCCCCTCCCTTAAAAGTCAAAACAAATTTCAAACTATTTCAATTAATGTATGAAGCTTAGTTCCACTTCTGTTAACAATGAAAAAAAGAATTACAGGGTTCTGTCCATTGATAGCCACATTTTGCAGCATACCACCACAAAGTACTATGTAAATGCAGCCAGGAGAACTGAAGAGTCTTGCATACCAAACTGGGGCAAGATAGCTGGTCATATCACAGTTTCATGCAAGAGCAATACACGAGTTTGCCTCAGAAAGGTATGTAAACTGTGATAACATGATGTTCAAAGGCAACATCAGTTATGTAATGTTTTGACTAGTCACAAAATACAACTCTCTGTAATTTCTGAGTATTGTGGAGTAAAATAATCCACAAGGTGATGTTACTGCTCAACAAACTGCAGAAGATCTAAAAAGGAATCATGTCAAGTGCAGATGATGTACTGAACTTGTCCCCCACAAACAGAACCAGTTTAGCCAAAGGTCTCTTCTTAACTGGACATTAAAATACAACTTTAGTTTTTATTTTTAACCTAAGGCTGTCCTTAAATATTAGGAAATTGGAAAAAAGAAATTCCTCCTAAACAGCAAACATCTTGTTTTTTACCTTAACACAACAGGAGTAATAGCAGTACGTAATGTTCACATTTAAGTGTTTTTTTAAAAACAACCAATCCCTTATGTTCAAGCTGACAGTTGCTTTTCAGTACATTAAACACTAAATCTTGCTGTTCCAAGTGAAATGATTTTTCCATGTTGGCATCAGACTGAGACCCAACTGACCAGACAGGAGCTAAACTGTCCCGGATAGGCGGCCCCTGAGATTTAACCAGGAGGCTGAACCCACCTACATGCATTTAGCAACACAGAACAGCTTGGCCTACCTTCTCCATTGCAGTCGGAGCACACAGACTGCATTTGCTGAACCATTCCAGGAGCCAGCTGTCTGATCATGATACGTACACCTCTGCCCCGGCAAGCATTGCATTTCTGAACAGCTCCAGCCTTCCCTCCCTGCCTAGAGTAGAAAGCACCATTTGCAGGAAAAGTAGGTTTTTCAGAAACATGCGATAAAAAAGCCCCGACATCAGGAGGTTAACGTGCCTAACTGTGCTGCCAATTACAATTAGGTTCTCTTCTCCCCCCTCTCCCCTCCAAACAAAGCCACTGAATAGTTCCAGTTCCATCAACAATATCATTCAAGTTCAACAATTTTCTAGTCTGAGAGCAGGCTCCAGTAAGTCAAATACCGATAAAGATCTGACATATGAGATGCTTCATTACTCCAACAAAGCAACCAAAGAACTCAAAAATAGAAACAAACTTACCCATTACATGCGCTACAAAGGACATTCTTGCTAAGTTGTAGTTTAGTTGTCTTTCCATTATACAGGTCTTCTAAAGAGACTCTACAAAATAAAGCATTTCTCCTGGGTTATCATTTAACAACTTACGTTCCCCATGTAATTAAAAAACTTGTCTAGGACAAATTAAAGAAAAACAGATAAAAATACTAAATCTGCTATGAAAATAAGATTTTAAACCATTATTTTAGCTTTCATAAGGAATCATTAAAAACTCTTCCATACGTACTAATATATATGCAATACATACACATGTAATCCTCAACACAGTTTTAAAGAAGAGCTATAATTTAACCAGAAGAAACCAGATAGGGTTGTTTGTGTTTCTCAATAGGAAACAAGCTGATCTAGCACTTTAGGTATTACTATTCAGTCAGAGGTGATGGTTTTTTTTTCAGTTCTTCCAGGCAAGTAACAAACCAACCTCTCTGGACAGTCCTTACATTATTTATAGCATGCACACATAAGACAACATACAGAATACTTACTACTGTATTGGACTTTCCACATGAGATAGCTTACTGGGGAGGAGTTACCATGTCCCTAAGGTCACTGAATTCTTTTGATTTGCTCATGTTTTAATTTCTTTTTTTTAAAAGCTCTTGAACAAACTTAAACTCCAGTAATCTTCATACATTCATAGAAACTTATAAACACATTTAGTGTTTCTCCTAAAAGGGTTTGTTCATGGATAGAAATTTCAACTCAATGTATTGAGAAAAGGTTGCCTGGCATCAGAGTTTACAAGTAACAACAAAACCAAAGCTAGTTAATAATACAGCATGCAGTAATAGCTACTAAACTATGCAAGCATGTAAAAATACAAACTTCACTAATCAGTTTGCCAACCACAGGAAAGATGCAGTTTAGCTTAAGAACTTAGAAAAGACTTGCTCAGCAGGCAAAAAGCCCATCCAGAGTGCAAGCGGAGATCTACAAAACACAATTAGATGTGATATTCAAGCATGGCAAAAAAACCCCAACCCAAAACAAAACCAACCAACACAACCCACCAAACCTGCCACACACCCTTTTCCATTAATTACACAGTTCGACTTTAGTTCTAGCTGGCATTACACTATGAATAAAAGTCAACATAAGTCTTTCCAGAGCCTTAGTACCTCTGTTTCCCTGAGAATCCAGATAACAAATAATACTTGGTTGTTGCATATGTATTCAGGTTGTAACTTTCAAACATAATTGAGGATCAAAACCAAGGAAAATAATGCTAACCAAGTATATAAAGGCTTATAGCCAGGTCTGTAAGATTAACCAATCATGAAAAGTAACTCAAGATGACTGCCTTCTGGGCTACACATGACATGCAGATCTGAAAAGTAGGTGGAGATTGCAGAATATCTCAACTGAGCAGCTTATCAAGAATATAAACTAGCAGAGTCATATAATGATCAGGAGAGCTTGAAAGTACAAATTGCAGTATCAAGATACTCACTTGAGTGGATGCATCATATCTTCTCCTCTTCTTCTACCATTACGACTTCTACTCTGACCACCCATGAAATTGAACAATCCACCACCAAAGATATGGGAGAAAATATCGTCCATTCCACTGCTTCCACCACTACCTTCTCGAAGACCCTGTTCTCCATATCTATCATACAACTCACGCTTCTCTGGATTTGACAATACTTCATAGGCAAAGCTTATTTCTTTGAACTAGAAGAGGAACAGAGTCAAAACAGTGCATAATTTAGAACTTCAAGGGAGCATTTTACTACCGTTTCTTGCCCAACATGAACATCCAGTTAAGAAGGTACACAAGAAAAACTGTTTCCCCCCCCCCCACTTCAATACACTCAAAACAAATGAATATTTATCATAGATACTACCCTCTGCTCACCTCAAAGCAACCACTAGAACATGAGTTCTTTTCAACAGAATCAGCTGAATCAATTGACTTTTTTAAATTGCTATTAGCATAATATTCAATTCAGCCGTCTCACATACATAATCTGTCTTATGCTGCAGCAGTTTCAAGAACCTCCACACGTACATTTTTCCACATTGGGAAAACTTGGAAAACCAACTATCTTTTCCAAATACATACAGAGATGCCAGTGCCAGCTGACATCATCTCAGCAGATGAAGGGGGAGTTTTTCCCTCAGCATTACCTTCTCAATCAATTTGACTCAGCCAGCTGTTACATATTTTCACAAGGTATGCTGGTTGTTTTTGAGATTGGAAAGCAGTAGGCAAGATGAGGTTTACTCTCACAGTCATTATTTTTGAACAACAATCCCCAAGACCTGTATTTGGTCCTTTAGACACTACTGTAATAGCAAACTTCAGAAAAAAAAAATAAATCTTACTTTGTCCCCAGCATTTGGATTCTTATCAGGATGGTATTCCTTGGCCAGCTTTCTGTATGCCTAATCGAAAGAGGTACATAATTAGTTTAAAGTTTGTTTCATCAGCTATTTTCTGAGAAACTCAAGTAGTGTCTTTGGGAAAAAAAAAAATCCTAATAGAGCAAAGTGAGAAAACAAGTACTTTGAAATTACTCATACACTGAAAAGATACATAAAAAATTCTGGCATGGCTATATTCACAAATTAACTACATTTGGATTTAAATGCAACTACAGCACACAATAGCTAGAACTCGTTTTCTTGCTTATCTTCATTAACTCACAGAAAGAATCACACAACTTTCATTAAAATTACTTACCCTCCAGAACCCACTCAAAGCCTACAATAGAACAATTTAAGTTTCAACCCATTTATCTTTCACCTCAATCACAGCAATATATTAACAACAAAATGGCTGCCTCAGCTTCTCATTCAACTCCATCAGTCAATTCTCACAATAACATTCTTCCTTACCTATCAATAATGGAAGATTTAATCTCACTTCAAACTAAGTATGAGTTACTTGTGACAAAATTTACTGATTGCTGCTTTTGTTCAACTTTATTGTTCTAGAATAGCAAGAGAAGTAAATACAGCTAAATCTCCAGAAGAGATTTTTCAGAATGTTTTTTGTTTTGTTTTACCAGTACTTTTGACTCTCAGGACCACCACTGTCCCTACAGCAGTACTGCGCCTGTTCTGCTTATACTTTAGAGAGGATCAAAGCAGAAACTTTTTCTAATTCAAATTTTTTTTTTACTTTTTGACAGTGAACACCTCAATTGTGCCCCCACTCCACCTCAACACACCCCAGTAACTATCAGGTCTAATAAATTACATGGTATAGTCTTTTATTTTTTAAATTATACACATAGAAAAGCTACAATGATAAAAAAAAAACAACTGAAACATGAGTTCTTAGAGTGGATTTTCACAAGTTCTATTGCTGCAGAACTGAGCATCTAAACTAGCTCTTTAGAACTACAACCTTAAGAGAGCTTTATACACAAAGCTTTACAGAGAACACAACTTTCCATTTTATACTAGATTAGTTTTTGTATCAGCACAATTACTTGTCTTTAATGATTATCTTGAAATACTCCATACTTCTGCGTGTAATCAAGAAATAAAGTTTGGTATGGAACTAAAGAAATAAAAACAGTACATTAATATTACAGGTCATACATTTTAAACCACAGGAAGTCTAATGAACAAAAATAATGCATCTTACAGGATAGATTACCCATTAGTAACAAAGCATCATCTTCCAGGAAATCTATATATTCTGTAGTAATTACGGACTTTCCCCACATATTTTAAGGCGTCTAACAAAAAAAACCCACTACAACCAGAACACTAACCTGAAAACCTAAATCACGTTATCTAACCAGGAAAAAAGAAGCTGGTGTGGTGATCTTTAAAAAGAGAGAGCACTCACATCTTTGCTGGTAACAACCCTCCAGTTTGGAGCAATTCCTAAGACTACTCGTGGCCCAAAAGGAAGCCACCACTATTAATTTAATCAGAAACAAGTCCAGAATCTGGGTCTAGACTACCACCATATATAACTCTGATAAAAGTTAATTTAACTAATCAGTGTTAAAGCCTGTTCTATCAGTGGCTTTTGACTAAGCTATCACCTTAATATGAGTAGATGAATAAAGCATCCATGTGACCTCCCAGTGACAATAAGATACAGGCCAACTTCTTGTTGTTGTAGGCAGTTGGAAACTTGACATTCTGTGATAAGTCTAATCTATATTAATATTGAGCACTGCAGGTTATCTGAGTGGCAAACTGTTGTCAGTTTTTCGTTCTTAGAGAAAACAGATACCCTTAAGAAAACTCAGTAGGCAAAAAAAATAAATAAATCATACTTGACTGTGTTCAGTGCAGAGCACAATCTTCTCATCACATGCCTTCCACCTCCAACACCATTTCACCACTGCAGTTGCCTATCCCTGCACAAATTAGGCTGCCACATGCATGATGGGTAACGCACAGTTGTTAATACCAGCACCACCCATCAGCAGAAGCAGGTCACTGCTAGTAAACTGACTAGCTAATTATCCCCCTCACGTGAATATTATCATTAAGTCGTTTTAGGAAAAAAAAAAAAAAAGTGGTTTATCCACTACAGAATGAAATGGACGCAGCAAATCCTTATATTGATGACCTGGCCCCAAGTTTTCACCTTGCTTCTTTGTTTACCTCGGCTCGTCGCTTTCGGCCTGCGAGGGATCAAATACATGAGCAAAACGAAACATTCTAAGGCCTGCACGTGGGGCAGACAATGGCACCGGTTAGAACCTACTGGTCGTTCACGAGGATTTTTACACCCAAAAAGCCTTTCACCGGCTGCCAACACCGCTCTGCCGCGCGGGAGGGACCCGGCGCTGCGGGG